GTGATTTAAAATGACCAGAAACCTTTTTGAAGATTAAAAATCAGATCCTCAGGAATTGTAGAATACAATTTATTTTCCTATTGTCTTACCTCCTTGCCATTCCACACAAAGACATCTGCCCCATCAGCAAGTCCAATGCCACCCAATGTCATCTCATCTCCTGAAAAGACCAAATCATCAAGATTTTCACAACAGGTAACCCACGTCAGCTGGCAAACTGGACACAGAATAGATTTCATTAATATTTGGATATTCCATCTAGATGTAAAGTTGCTATGAAGAACAGATACAGAAGCCCAGGGCCCAGTTATGTAAAGTTGATCCATGCCATATGCCTCTGAGGAGTCCCACTAAGTCAACAGGACTAGTGGTAGACATAAGAATCCACCTAGGCAAATCCTTTTGCAGGATTATGACATTAAACTCAATTTGACGAATTTGTATGGTCAAAAACTTCCCACATGAGATTTTAAAGTACATTTTTATATTTAATTAACAATGCTAAATGCTGAAGTAGTCATGTACTGTATCCTTACAGCCAGTATTTGACATCGATGTGCTTAATTTTTGCATGCAACTAGTTTGATCTTCTTAGCATAAAACAGATTAAATGGCAATTACTTTCAATCTACAAGGATTACATTAAAATTTGCAAGAACACTTACAACAGTTTATTGTTTAGCTTCCGTTTTCTGACATTTATGCTATAAAAATTACTTGACTATTTTTGGAAAAAAACTAATTTTCTGAGGCAGACAGACCAAGGCCTATCATAAGAACATCCATTTAGCCCGGTATCCTGTCTTCCGACAGTGGCAAATGCCAGGTGCCCCAGAAGGAATGAACAGAACAGGTCATCATCAAGCGATCCATCCCGTCACCCATTCCCAGCTTCTGGCAAACAGAGGCTGGTGACACCATCCCAGCCCATCATGGCTAATAGCCACTGATGGACCTATGCTTCAGGAATTTATTTAGTTTTCTTGAATCCTATTATAGTCTTGGCCTTCACAACATCTTCTGGCAAAGAGCTCCACAGGTTGACTGTGCATTGTGTGAAGAAATACTTCCTTTTGCTTGTTTTTAACCTGCTGCCTATAAATTTCATTTGGTGACCCCTAGTTTTTGTGTTATGAGGAGTAAATAACACTTCCTTATTTACGAATAAACAACACTTCCTTATTTACTTTCTCTACACCAGTCATGATTTTATAGGCCTCTATCATATCTCATATCATATCCTTTTAGTCACCTCTTTTCCAAGCTGCAAAGTCCCAGTCTTATTAATCTCTCCTCATATGGAAGCTGTTCCATACCCCAAATCATTTTTGTTGCCCTTCTCTGTATCTTTTCCAATTCCAATATATCTTTTTTGAGATAGGGTGACCACATATACACGCAGTATTCAGGATGTGGGCATACCATTGATTTATATCCAATTAAAAACTGAAGCAATAGATATTGTATTTCACTCAACAACTCAGATTTTTTAAAAAAATCTGTCCTAATATCTAGAATGATAAAGCCATATTAAGTTGTAAGTGTCAAGACTAATGAAAGCCAAATTGATTATATCTTAATGGAGCTGTGTATTGTGATATTTATATTAATTAAAAAAAAAAACCTTTCCCCTTCAAGTTTTCACTTCCACTAAGATATTCAGTTTAAAATGTCCGGTCCACTTGTTTGCTACTATCCTGCCTCTCAGAGCCTCTACTTTTTAACTATTAGATAAATGTTAATAAGACATCATAAACATTCAAACGGATATCATAGTAAAATCTTACATGTCTGCAAATCTAATTAATTCTCAGAGACCTACACTTTCATCCTGCTTCCCACCAAAGGTTTCACAGAAGAGCCACTGTAAGGATCATAAAACTTTATTATGTTTTAATATTATATTATTTATTATGTGTATTATCATAGTTCCTAGGAGTCTGAGTCATGGACCAGGTTCCCCCGTCGTAAACACTGAACAAACACAGATAAAAAACAGTCTCTGTCCCACACAGCTTCCAGCTAAGTTAAGTTTGCCATACATAAGATCAAGACTGAAGAGACTGCAGTGGATTTGCAAATACACCTCTACCCCGATATAACGCAACCCGATATAACACGAATTTGGATATAACGCGGTAAAGCAGTGCTCCGGGGGTGGGCAGGGCTGCGCACTCCGGTGGATCAAAGCAAGTTCGATATAACGCGGTTTCACCTATAATACGGTAAGATTTCTTGGCTCCTGAGGTCAGCGTTATATCAAGGTAGAGGTATAGGTCAAACTGAACACTGAAGTAAATAAAATGTAATAATATATTTCTCCAATAAGTTAATAAATGGAACACCTTCAAAATGGCCTAAACAAAAGTATAGAGCATGCAAACAATGAAACCTTGTTTTATGCAGGTCTTACCATCAAGTGTTTGGTAAAGATGAAGTCCTGCTGGTAGAGACTTTGCAGTACTGAGAATCATGTCTCCTTCCCAAAATTCCAACAGCTAATGAGTATAAATAAAACAACCAATTGTGAAAAAAAGCAAAAGTTGTAACCCCTCAGCAAAGTTTCAAACTGCTTGTAAAGGGTGAAATCTTGGCCCCCAAAATGAAGTTGAACAGAGTTTTGCTAATGACTTCAATGAGGACAGGGTTTCATGAATTATATTTACATTCTCTCTGTAATGTAAAGCAGATAAGCAGTATGCTAGAGCACTTTTTAGTTTTTCACTCAAATATTTTTAGCCAACTGTCATAAATGATTACCTAGCCAATACAGTGTAGATCAAGCATTTGTGCCAAAGTTTGAAAATATTTTGTCTTTGTTTGTACTCTACATGAGAAATAAAAAGTGACTTGAGTTCTAAAACAAAGCCATTTCTAACTCCTGTGCTATTTGTCAAACTGAACCCGACCACTCTCTGGGAATTGTGATGTTTCTTTGGTATACTGGGGGTGGGGTGGGGGGGGTGTTATATTTTCCAGTTTGATAGTTTCAAAAAAATTCTAGGACTTCTTTTCAGTATATGCTAACTCTAATTGCTGGGTATTTTCTTGACTCTCTTTCCAGTCCAGGTCAGCAAGCTCCCTCCTAGTATGTAGTTGAAACAGCAATACCCAGATTGCAGACACAAAATGTACAAGTCTGTATGTCAACTTTCAGGTATATTTTCATTACGATGGTGAAGGGCTTGTTTCATCATTTCTGTGGCTTCAGACAGCAAAGTGTCAAATACTACAGAAAATTTCTTCTTCTCATACAGAGCACAGTCGTGTCCACAATTTTAAAATTGTCTTTGTAACTCAGGTAAAGATAAAATGTTTGGGTTAACACTCTTAAAAAAGTAAATACCTGAAATATCGATTGTCGCAGATCTCCTAGGGTTTTTCTTTTATCAGTAGTCAGATCCAGCACACTTTCCTTCCAAGAAAGCGATGGGTGTAGGGCCCCATTGTAAAGTTTATAGTGAGAGCCCAAATGGAGGCGCAAATCAATATTATTGTCTGCAGAGTCACAATCCATCCTGTTAAAACAAAACAAAACAAAACAAAAACACATCAAAACTACATATCAATACCAATAGGCTAAAATGAAAGGTGATTTACTGCTGACTGTTCTAGAGTTGCCTCTGTGCATTCACATTTACGAAATTGGCACACCGTGGTGCTGAGCTCACAGATTAGCTTTATATCAGCACCAGAGCCACAGGTGGGAATGCACAGAGGCAACTCTAGAACAGTCAGCAGTAAATCACCTTTCATTTTAGCCTATTGGTATTAATATGTATTTTTGATATTTTTTTTTTTTTTTTTTTTTTTTTTTTTTTTTTTTTTTT